GTACGGTTTACTTTTCACTCTATTACTGCGTTAACTTCATTCATTCATTCATTCATTCATTCATTCATTCATTCATTCATTTTACACAAAACGTTAGGGCTGTCTAAAGATTAATCATAATTAATGGTATAGTTTATCCAAAAATGAGAATTTACTCATTGTTTGCTCTCCCTCAAGTAGTTTAAAACCTTTGAGTTTTTTTTATTTTTTTTATTCTGTTATATATATATATATATATATATATATATATATATATATATATATATATACTCGCGGCCACTTTATTAGGTACTGCCTTACTAGTACCTGCTTGGACCCCATTTTGGTTTCAGAACTGCCTAAATCCTTTGTGGCAGATTCAACAAGGTACTGGAAATATTCCCTTTGAGATTTTGGTCCATGTTGACATGATAGCATCACTCAGTTGATGCAGATTTTTCAGCTGCACATCTATGATACTAATCTCCCATTCCACCACATCCCAAAGGAGCTCTATTGGATTGAAATCTGGTGACTGTGGAGGCCATTTGAGTACAGTGAATTCACTGTCATGTCCAATTGTCAATGTCAATAAAGTGGCCAGTGTGTGTTTGTGTATATGGATTGAAAGAAGACATTTTGAAGAAAGCTGAAAACCTGTAACCGATGACTTCCATATTATTTGTTTTTCCTACTTTGGAAGTGAATGGTTACAGATGTCCAGCTTTCTTCAAAATATCTTCTTTTGTGTTTAACAGATGTCAAATAGGTTTGAAACAAGTAAAATATGAGTAAATAGTGACAGACCTTTCAGTCTTGGTTAAATGTATTTGATGAATCTCTTGAATCGTATAAAAACATTAAAAGTTTGTATTTACGTAATATATAGAGGAAAGGGTTCTTGCGTATAAATAGAAATTTCTGTATTTTCATACTTAATGCCTGGTTGTAATAACACTTTTTATGTTTGTATATTAATTTTGGATTTGTAAATACACATATTTTTGTATATTTCAGCAAGTATTTATATAATATAATAATTATTTAATATACAGTTAAAGTTGGAATTATTAGCCCCCCTTTGAATTTTTATTTCTTTTTAAATATTTCTCAAATGATGTTTAACAGAGCAAGATAATTTTCACAGTATGTCTGATAATATTTTTTTCTTCCGGAGAAAGTCTTATTTGTTTTATTTAGGCTAGAATAAAAGCTTTTAATAAAAAAAAAAAAAACATTTTAAGGTCTAAATTATTAGCCCTTTTAAGCTATGTATTTTATCGATAGTCTACAGAACAAGCTTTTGTTATACAATAACTTGCCTAATTACTCTAACCTGCCAAGTTCACCTACTGTAATTAACCTAATTAAGCCTTTAAATGTCACTTTAAGCTGTATAGAAGTGTCTTGAAAAATATCTAGTCAAATATTATTTACTGTCATCATCGCAAAGATAAAATAAATCAGTTACTAGAAATGAGTTATTAAAACTATTATGTTTAGAAATGTGTTGAAAACAATCTTCTCTCTGTTAAACGAAAATTGGGGAAAAATAAACAGGGGGCTAATACTTCTGACTTTAACTTTACATTATAGTATATAAATTTTACGAATTGTGTTATAAAATATAAATACAAGTTTTTATTATTGAAGTGATTAATTATTTCACAGCGCAATTTGAAATTAAATGGGGTTTTGTGTTAAGATATTTGGCTTTTTTTCCCCACCTTTGAACCTTTTTAAAACACATCACATGATCATATGCGATTCATTTGATCTGTTCATTATTTTGTTTTTGTTTTGTTTTGAAGCTAAGTAAGGCTAAGGTAAAAAGTGAAAAAGTTTCACTGAATTTTGAGTCTAAATCGATACCTAAAAAACAAGAGCGTAATATAAAAATGTCAGACTGTTTATTTTCTTCATACGATAACGACTCGAGAAGTTAGAATTGTGTTATGTTGTTGTCATTATTTTTATTTTTTTATGTTTAGTTTATTTTTTTTTGTGATGGCCTATTTACTTTCATATTCCTTAGTCCTTTCTTTTCAGCCTGTTGCCTGATGTCTGCTTACTTTTACACACAGTTTTGAACACTGTTGAACACAATGCACCATGTGCTTCTTTGAATATGCTGTTTTACTTGGATACACAACACCGCTCGCAGTTTCCCTTTATTTAAAGCAATCATCATTTGAGTCTTCAGATAAAAATAAAGACTGTATGTTGTATTGTAAGTGTAAGCAGCAGTAGATGTTTTCTTCAGTCTTTTCTTTCGAATTGCTCACTTATATGAATGAGGTCAGACTGCTGAGCACATGATGTAGAACTGACTAACAGCCAAAAGCATGAGTAACTTTGTTTATATGCCAAAGGCCTTTTTTGACTCTCCGTTTGGCATTTGCAGATGGTTTGTTTTAGTCAGGGCTTTCTGCAGGTGTAACATTTTGGTTGTGCTTTTGCACATATTGCCTGTTTTGTGAGATTTATGTTTAACTGACTGGTTGAGTTGTTACTAAAGTTTTCTTACTCAGGGGTTATATTTGGATAAAAGCTGGCAGTTCCAGAGTTTCCCAATAGAGGGCAGTAAGTGCGCAGTTGAGTATTTCTGTGCTGATGGTGTTTAAAAAAAGAATATGATAATAGTGAATTAAAGAAAAGTTGTCTTTATTTAGTCTTTTATGTCACTTTAAATTTTTGTGACTTTCTGTTTGATTCTCAGGCATGTTTTATTTTATTTTGCTTTAGGTTTTGTATGTTTGTAGTGTTTTGTCTATGTAATGTCAATAGAGATCAAAACTGTTTGATGTTAACCATTTTAAAATACTTTATTCTTTTGGTCCCACATTTTATATTATCGCGTATACCTGTGAACCTACATGATAAATAGATGTGTGAGTAGTATGTAACTACAGTGTATGTACACACTGGTGGTACGTAGTATTTACTTGTGTAATACTGGTGTAACTACTCACACGTAACAACTCATTGAATAGTAATTGTAAGTTCAAATGTGTAACAGGACAGTGGTAACAACACTAAAAAAGTACACATCTGTAACAAGAATTACACAAGTGCATTGTGTAACAACAATATACTTGCAGGCATTTTCCCACTTCCACACCTGTTTGCATACCATGTACTTCTGAACACTGTATTAGAATAGGAATGGCAGAACTAACATTGCATTCGAAGATTTTACCTTGTAATACAAGTGTTATTACAGGGTAAATCCTCAGGTACTGTCCACTCAATGTAAATTGTAAAATGGTCACAAATTACTCTGTAATATATAAAACCTGTGCAACTGTTTAACAACAGCAAACTTCTGACAAAAAAGTACGGGTGTATATTGAAATATAAAAATATACCTTATTTTTTACATGTTGTTTTTAGGAAAATTGTAGAATCATATCAGTAATTCACATTAAAGGGGTAGTTTACCAAAGATTGTGTTATTAATGTCCTGTTACACTTTTGAACTTACACATACTATTCAGTGTGTTGTTACATGTGTGTGGTTACACCAGTATTACACAAGTGAATACTATATACCAGCGTGTACATGTAGTTACATACTACATACATATCTAGTTACCGTTTACGTTCACAGGTTTAAGCGACACTTAAAATAAAGTGTCACCATAATTTTTGTTATGCTTTATTAATTTTATTTATTTGTTTTGTATTTTATTTTATAGCTAACTATTAAAGCTTGTTTAGATTTTTTTGTTGATTGAAAGTTGATTACCAACACTCTACAAACTATTTTGCTTTGTGTTTGCAGTTTCTACTCTGTTTTGGGCTGATTTGATTTGACTTTTGTGTTTTAATGTTAAGATGAAATTGTCAGTATGTGATTTGTTATATGTATATGCAGTTGAAGTCAGAATTTTTAGCTTCCCTTTGATTTAGATTTTTTTTGTCTATTTTCAATATTTCCTAAATGATGGTTAACAGAGCAAGGACATTTTCACAGTATGTCTGATAATATTTTTTCTTCTGAAGAAAGTTTATTTGTTTTACTTCGGCTAGATTAAAAGCAGTTTTAAATTTTTTAAAAAACATTTTAAGGTCAATATTATTAGCCCTTTTAAGCTGTTTTCGATAGTCTACAGAACAAACCATCGTTGTACAATAACTTGCCTAATTACCTTAATCTGCCTAGTTAACCAAATTAACCTAGTTAAGCCTTTAAATGTCACTAAGTCTTGTAGAAGTGTCGTGAAAAATATCCAGTCAAATTTTATTTACCGTCATCATGGCAAAGATAAAATAAATCAGTCATTGGAAATGAGTTATTAAAACTATTATAGAAATGTGTTGAAAAAATCTTCAGCTAAACAGAAACTGGGGAAAAACAGGGGCTAATAATTGAGCGGGGCTAATAATTCTGACTTCAACTGTGTATATATTTATTAATTTTTAAAAAATATTTTTTTATGTACAGTTGAAATCAAAATTATAACCCCTCCTGTGAATTTTTAAAAATTCTTTTTCAAATATCCTTCCCAAGTGATGTTTAACCGACCGAGCACATGTTAACAACATTTCTTCTGGGGAAAGTCCTATTTCAAATCATTTTAAATTTTTTATTTCTTTTTTTAACTAGTTTAAGAACGATATTTTGTGCCCGTTTATTCAATAATTTTCCTGATTAGCATAATAATTTACATCACTTTCATCTGAATACTAGTATCTTGCAAAATATCTAGAAAAAATGTATAATGACCAAAACAAAATAAATTAGTTATTAACGTTATTAGAAATATTTTCCCAGCACTTGTGAAATATTTTTTAAACAATTAATTTCACTGGAGTGTAACTATTTTTGACTTCAGGTGTATGTGCATGTGTTGCATAATTCATGTTTTGTTTTTTAATGTTTATCTTGTTTATTAAATGTAAGAAGATTAAAATTGACATTTTTTTTTTGTTTTTTTTGCTAAATAAATCGTATATAACCAAAATCAAACAAAAAGTGCCCAGGGGTAGCTTAATTAATGTCTCGGTGCTCTTTGGGT